GAATTCCCCAGCCAGCCTTGCTGGCTGGGGAATTCTGGGAGTTGAAGTCCACACATCTTCAAGCTGCCAAGGTTGAGAAACACTGATCTAGTCTATATAAACATCATTCACTTTACCTATGCAAGTGTTCTTGTTTTTCCCCACAACCATACACTGTTTCATACATTGTCTTTTTGTTCTTTATATTTCTTAGTTCTCTCTTTTTAAGGATTTCAACAACCCCATCGAATGCCTTTCTCAATCTTCCCCTTCCTCTCAATTTGTTCATTCTTCCTTCATGTATTTCCTTTAGGATTTCATCCCTATTCATTCCCTCTATTCAACCAAACAATCTCAATGTACTTTTTTCGTATTGGGTCAGTGACCAATAATGCAACTTATTCCCACTCCATTCAATTTCTGTGTTTCTTCTGACCTAGCTAACTCTGTTACATATAACAAAATAGATTGAAGCATGCTCTTATGCACAGCCATGTTTGTTTCTTTTAACAAACATTCCTTGCAACAGACCACATAATGCCCACTGTACTTTCCACCAGTACTTCTATGTGTTAAAATTTCTCTGTTTTTCCATCTTTAGTAAATATTCTGCCAAGATATACACATTCATCTATTTGTTTTAGTTTGGTGCCATTTATGTATAAATTGCAATTATTCACTTCACTTTCCTTATCAAATGCAACTATATTTGATGACTACATTAATTTTCAGGTCCATGCTCCTTGTTGCACCATACAACCTGTACAACATTTGCTGGAAATCTTGTGGGTTCTCAGCCAATAATATAGCAGTCTCTGCATGCAAAAGTACCCGCATATTCATATCCCCGACCAATATACCTCTGACGTCACCACAAAGATTCCTTATACATTTATTCAGGAATACATTAAACAACCAAGGGTATGTCACAGATTGTTGTTTTATATCCTGCTCAGTGTTAAGCCATTTGCTAAACATTCCTTCTATTGTCATATATGCTTTACTTCCATCATATACTTCTTTTATTCATTCAGCAATAAATTTTCAGCACCATATTTGCACAAAACATTCTATAATTCAAGCCTATTTACATTATTATATGTTTTATTTATATCAGAAAAGGTTAAATAAACTTTGTCACCTTCATATATTTTTCAGAGAACTGCTGCAATGCAAACTTCACTTCCCAAATTTTGCTCATTGTCATGCCTTGTACCCTTTCAGTCAGAATTCTGCCAAACACCTTCCAAGACTAGCAAGCTAATTCCCCTTACTTTTGCGTTATTCTTAACCTTTCTCTTTGAGGAGGGGGACAATAATGGAGTTACACACAGCCATTCCATAAGCAAACCACATCTATATTTTATCATTTCTCCAACTACACTGTTTACACCTGTATCCTTACCATTTTCAGCATTGTCACAGCATTTATTCCTTTGCATCAACTTTTTCTTGGACACTAACTTTTATGGAATTTTATTTGACATAGTACTATCATTCCGAAAGTATTGTTCCAGCATTCCCTCGCATCAGCTTCTTCCAAGATAATTTAATCACTTTCATTTTTAATTCCATTCCTTCATTATTTAGCACTTTTCACCCACTTCTGAAACAGTTTTCTTTGCCTCTTGTAATCTTAACCATTCCTTACTCTCTTTGACCACATTCTTTGCAATTTTCATTTTCCCCCTATATGCATTGTAAAATATATTTCAGAGCCTATCTGAAAAGAATACTAGGGTAACTGAGCTTTTTAGAAAACAGTTTAATAATCCCTCAGCCAAAGGGAACCTTATAATGATTCTGACATAGGATATGAATATGATAAATACTTTTGATGTACTGATCAATCTTTTGTAGAAACCTTGCATATCTGTGCATAGTTTAATGTAAAACATGGATTATTTTTTTCTTTTCTGTCCTTCAGTTGTTCCTTCTGTTTATACAATTTATATGGGAAAAGACAAGTATGAAAGTAAGTAAAACATTCCTTTGATTTACATGAAGAAGGTATGATCTGTTGATAATTTGTGCATCTTTCCTAAGAACTCACTGGTTTTAGCTACCAGAATTGCAGAGACAGAAATCTCCTTAATCTTTATATGTGGCTCCCTTATATTTTTTACCATTTGCTTTTGGAACTCACCCTTTGTTTTTAAATAGCTACACTTTTTAGAATGGCATGATGGTGGTCAGTTTTAAGAAATCAGTACCCAAATCAATATTATGCTGGAGAAAAATATGAGCAGACTATCAGGATGATGAAAAGAATTGAGATAAATTTTATAAGTAATATTAAGACAAATGATTTAAAATATTGAATAAGGACAAAAGCAAGAAACTGATGGTAGATTGTTTGATGAAGAAGTTAAAGAAAGTAAGATTGTAGAAAAGCAATTGAATTGCTTACACTTGTTTTGACTACAGACTGTACAGAGCAGATGTGTGGCTAAATTTGTATATTAGAAGAGGGATCTTAAGAACTGAGGGAAACTGGTGATGAAAGGTAAAGTTCTAAATAGTTTGTGTTGACAAATTAATAACAGCAAATGATAAGAGTATTGATCCCAGTGTTCCTAAGAGTTCACACTGAAGCTGTGAACCTGCTGATCTCTCAGTAGAAATATGTAACATGTTTTTAAGATTGGCTTTTCATCATAGGACTGGGAAATAAGGGAATCTATGGGGAACCTAGAAAATGATTAATTAACTTAACATCTGTTCCATGCATTACAATGAGTTTGTTCAATATAACTGTGAAAAAGCAAATTGCTTGATGGGAATCATTAAGAAATGAATTAAAAATAACTGCCAGAAGTGTATTGCCTTTCTACAAATCTTTATAGCACAACCATCTTTTGAATTCTGTGTTACTTTTACTCACCAGGCTTCTAATAAGGTTAAAAGATGCATAAAAGGGGATCCAAAAATAATAAAGGGACTGAAGTGACTCACTTGTGAAGAAAAATTAGTGTTTTTTTTTAATTTAGAAAAAAATGAGTAAGTGGGACACAATAATATGTGGATAATATTATCCATGATATAGAAAAGTGGAGAGGAGCCATTTTTCCCTTTACTCATACAGGTTGGATCCTTTTGTAATATTAAAATATGAGTGGGAGAGATTTAGAACTGGCTAGAGAACTCTGTGACATGTTGGGTCATCCTTTGAGAAAAAGGTAGTGCAGTCTGATGTGATTACATCATTACATTACATTTTAGGCTGACCATAATTTTTTTACCCCAATGCTGGCCGGTCCCGTGATCATTTAAGAAGAATATATATCATAAATAGAAAAATAATTGTAGTGGCAAATGAACTCCAATAATAAGTCAATATTTACTTACCTAAACAGATAAACGGAATGACCATGGATAGGCAAAAAAGCAGTGGGAACGGGAGCAACTTCCAACTTCCTCCTGGCTTCCCTATTGCCTTTGGTTGTGGGAAGCTGGCAGGGAGTGTTGGAAATCATGATCACATGACTGCAGGAACGCTGCAACGGCCACAACTTTCATATTTCCACGATGTTCACACCAGTTTTATTTGCAAACTGGTGTGAACATTGTGGAAATATGAGTTCCACAGGAGTAATGGGTCCTGGATTTTTTACTCATTCTTTAAGTTAGCAGATTTTAGGTACCTTGATTCAAAAATTGTTGCGGTATAATGCACTGTTTGGGCTAACGTGAGGGTACAAATAGACAAACAGATAAACACAATGAGAGTTTTAGTAGTATATAGATAAAATAAAGTCTTTTTTTAAAGCTATGACATTTGCTACCAACATATAGCTGCCAATTTAGGTGGTTTTAAGCAGTGATTAAACAAATTACTAGAGGATTAGAATACATGATGGCTATTTACTGCCTCCATTATGAGAGCAGTGCTGGAATAGAAAATACTCTTGTTTTTATGTTCTGCTTCCTAGTGACATCTACATGAGCATTTAGGTCTAGGTAGTTTGAATCAGTAGGATTATTTAATTATGTATTTATTTATATGGTGCCTTCAGGTCAATGTTGACTCCTGGCAACTGCCTGGACAAGTCCCTGCAGTTTTCTTGGCAAGATTGCAGAAGTGGCTTGCCATTGTTTTCTTCCTAGGGCTGAGTGTGTGTGACTGGCCCAAGGTTATCCAGCTGGCTTTGTGCTTAAGGTGGGACTAAAACTCACGGTCTCCTGGTTTCTAGCCTGGTGCCTTAACCACTATGCCAAACTGGCTCTTAGGATTTTATTAATGCACTTTAATTCATAGTTGGAATGAAAGAAGGCAAGTACTTTAATTGCAGTAGAAGCCCTTGGTCTACTTATTTTTATTTCTTTACTGAATGTATATATTTTGAAGTTCTGCACATTTTTTACTGAATGTCTCAATATGGTTTATCTTAGCTGGATAGAATTGCAGCTGTTAAAATGAATATTTACCAAGACTTAATTTACCCTTTCAAATGATTCCAATACATATTGAAAACAGGGCATTAAGTGATTGGCATGAATGCATAATGAACTCCATATAGTCCAATAAAATACTAAGGATTAAATTCAAGATTCTATGGGACTTGAAAGAGTGAGGTGAATTAGTGGCCCCAAAGTTTAAAGTGTATTGCCGTGCTAGCTGCTTAACATAGTTTTCAGAGTGGATCTGCCATTACAAAGGAAAGGGAGGGGGGAAGGCTGGTAGGTGAACCTTTAGGTGCAGATGGACTGTTACCTGTTTCTCAGGAATGCCCAAGGCCGTACCAGCGTGAGACCAGGAGATGACAGGTGACATGCACAAGAGAGTCTCGAAGATAGAAGGGGGGAGGTGAAATGGGAAAGGGGGTAAAATCAGCTTTTGGCATGCGCGGGCTTTAGTTCCAGCAATGCTCTAGTTCTGTACACTGCTTCTCAATAAATTAACTTTTCTTTGAACTTGCATCAGTTTTAAGGAGAGTTGCTTTTGTTGGGAGTTGTGTGCTGCAGTTTCTTACAGTTTTTCTTTATGGCTTGCTTACCTCTCTGCATGGGGCAGGACTTCCAGACAGTCTGCACAAATAATTTTGGCTTAATACAAACAGAAACAAGTTATGAGAGATAATGTATAAGAGAAACATATTAATGTAATGTATTGAATATTTAGGATAAATACAGGAAAAGAATCAAATCTCTCCCCTCTTTGTCTTATTATTAAATGAAAGTTAATGAAGATTATGAAGAGGAAGGTACTAAGAAATTTTCTCAGTGGAAAGCTAACAATTCCTTTAGACTGCAAGATTTGAATATTAATAAGATGAAGAAAAAATCTTTTGAAATCCTTACTTCACAATGAGAGAGCCAGTTTGGTGTAGTAGTTAAGGCTCCAGGCTAGAAACTGGGAGACCATGATAGTCCTGCCTTAGGCATGAAGCCAACTGGGTGACTTTGGACCAGTTACTCTCTCTCAGCCCTAGGAAGAAGACAGTGACAAACCATTTCTGAAAATTTCTCCCAGAAAACTGCAGGGACTAGTCTGGGCAGTTGGCAGGAGTCAACACTCCCTACCCAGGGACACATACGTATAGATGCACACTTCACATTGGTCCAACTTACCTGATTGGTTTCATTATCTTCGAATATGTAGCATAATATTAAAAGAATTGGAGAAACAAGGGGAATACTGAGAGACTTGACAGAATTTGGAAAATAATATGTAACTCAGAATATTTGTTGGGACTTATTTATAGACTAGCTGGTGAAATATAACTCAATCTGAAAAGGTCAAAGATTGCATGGTTAAATGGATACAAAATCTGAATGCAGTAATAGAGATGCAGTAGTGGGAATTTCAATGGAAGAAGAACATAAAACTTACTCTGAACATTTACTCAGAGAAAATTGGTATAAGATGTTTTATTGTTGGTACATTACTCCAGTTTTAATTGCTGAAGTGGACAATTCATTTTCAAAAAAATGTTGGAAACATCATTACAGTTTTTCATATTTGGTGGCAATGGTGTAAAGTTCAGCAATTCTGAAAAATGATTCATTACTAGAATGAAACAAATCTTAAAAGATGAATTCCCATTTTAATCTATGGTATTCTTATTAAACTGTACCAAAGTATACTGAATTAGCTTATACTATATGCTTCTTACTGGAAAGGTTGTTTGATCCCTTCAATTGAAGAATAGTTAACCAAGTTGTGAGAATATGCTTTGGTGTCTGGAATAACTTTGTACCTTAAAAGTAAATCTGACACAGATTTCAACTCAAACTGGAAACCATTCTTAGATTATTATATACATGGATTGGTACCATGTCCAAAGTTTGGGTTTATTTATCCATAGAATTTAAGTGCAATTTTATGAGCTACCTAAATCAGAATAGATTCTTAGTAATTCAGACTGAATTTAACACAATGTTTAATTTTAGCGATTTATATTATGTTAACTATGGTTCTTGATATTCACTTTTAGCTGAAGTTTAATAATATCAATCCCCTTTGCAGTAGATCAGTGACACATTCCCCCCGACCCCATCCCTGCTGACTCTGTCAACTTTTTTCTTTAAACAGATGGAATTTGACTACACATTTCTTTAGTTCTCCAGGGCAAATGTAGAAATTATTTCAGTAGCTGGCCAGAGCAGTATACAGCCTAAATCAGACACTCACTTTTATAGACAATCAAGTAAAAAAGATAATACAATTAATAAGTTGCAGCAAGAAACAAATCCAACAGAGATTCAACTTCCAGATGCCTTATGCATCTTCCCCCCACCACTAAATAAAAATGTTTTCAAGATTGTTTTTATCAGATGGCTGTTGTAAAATTCATCTGTACTGCCGTTCATCTAAAGATTTTCTTTTGAAATTGGAATTTGTCATAAAGAAAATGCTGATGTACAAATTGGTGTTTAATTGAATGATGCACAGACTCAGGCTTCTGTAGCTCTTGTGGGCAATAATGCTTTCGTCAAAAACTACGTTTCCTCATGAGTGGAAAGCTACATGGTGAGTAGGGGTGAAATATGCAGTGGGTGAGTCCACAACTTAAAGTAGGGATACAGTTTTTTTTCTCTCTGACACTCTTCAGCATTTATGTTTTTCTCTTTCTGAGCAGCAATTTATAGGAAAGGGCCAGATAGCTATTATCAGAGGTCTGACCTTAATTTCAATAGGTTTGAAATTATCCTGAAGGCCACACAAAAATAACCTGAAGGCTGCAAGTCACTTATGTTTGTTCCATAGTATTATTTTTTACTAAGGAATAATAAGTTTAAAATGCTGTATCTCAGAAACAGAGATGGTATATTCTTTGTCACCTTTCTGATTAATATTGTTTCAGTCTGAAATCTTCTGTTTCAAAAGAAGAAAACAATTTATGTGAACACTATTACAGCTCTGCTCAGTCTTTGCTTTGCATTTTCTTTAGATGAAGATCTAATAAAATATGGTTGGCCAGAAGATATTTGGTAAGTACTGAAAAGGTCTTCCTTTTATATAATGAAATCCTTTTTCATATGAAACAAGTTCTTCTCCTTCCTAATAATAACTACTTAGTAGAGCCTTTTCTAGACTTGGACTTAAGATTTGAGATGGGATCCCATTTCTAATACTATCCCATACCTCAAAAAGTGAGAATCTCTCTCTGCCTATCAAATGTAAGCTCTCTAGTACAGCAGGATATAGAACCTCTGTTTGTTACTTCTCTGTACAAGAATGCTTTTTTAAAAAAAGTCATATTCAACCATTTCTTGTTGTCTTTTTTTGCTCTAGGAGCCTTCCTTCCCCCCCCCCCCCAGTTTCCAGTAATAAGTTTCCCAACCTTCCACTTGCAATTTTGTGGTCTTCCCAAACAAATTATATATTCTGTCAAAATAGTTTTCCTTTTTTCCCATTGGTTTCATGCCTGCTTAAAGACTTGACTGGAAGAATCACAAGAGTGCTGGCAAATAAATATACTTTTAATTCAGCACCAAAAGTGATGACAGGTCTAGTCCCATATGCAGACAAGATTCACAAGCTTAGTTGTAATGCAATTTCTTTGGTTTTTTTTTTTTTTATTGTGTTGTTGGAACCCAGTTGTTGTGGTAGTATGGTGTATAAATCTAACACAAAGTATGGTTTATGCAAAAAATCATAGCTAAACAACCCATGGCTTAATATAATGAGTGAGCTCTTCCATAGAGAGAATCATAAAATGTTAAAGTAATAACAGATTTATTAAAAGTTCTACAGAAAGCTGCCAGGCTTCATGTGAGCCAGTTTATACTAAATATATCAGCCTGGGGAGGTTTCCAGATCAGGAAACAGGTTCTAAAGAAGACTAGAACTATATTTGAGTGAGATAGGCTACACAAACAGAATCTTGAAAGTCTGATTGCATTTCCCCTTCCCTCTGTCTTATATCCCAGGGAGTCAGGGAAGAGTTAGTCTGGGTTTCCTCTTAATTCAGGTAGTCCTTGCTTAGGAACCACAATTGGGATTGGCAACTGTCGTTAAGCGCCACAGTCACTGAGTGGAAAATCATGTGACCGCAACAGGCTTACCACCTCACTTTCCATTTGGTCATTAAGTGAATCATTGTGGTTGTTAAGTGAGACATCACATGACTGCAACTTGCAATTTTACTTCCATGATCTCCATTTATTCTGCTTGTTGGAAGCTGGTTGCGAAGCACCTGAATGATGATCATGTTACCGTGGGACACTTCAATGGTTGTAAATGTGAGGATTGGTCGCAAAGCTTTTTAACATCATTGTAACTGTGAATGGTTGCTAAACAAGGCAGTCAGTAAGCAAGGACTACCTGTACTTTCCTTTTTCCCAGGGCTCAAGGCATGATTCTGCACAGTTTGTAACTGTTTTTGTAACAGTTTCTGAATAGTTTCTTCAAGGTAATTTCCATGACTCCTTACAATTTAGAAACAATTCCCCTAAGTCATTTTTGTTTGCATATTTTCATTCCTGAGTAGTTCCACTTTTTTAAAAATATATTTCTTATAAAATATTTATGTTTTGCTTCTTCATATTGATTTATAAGACAGCAAACAATACAGGTCAGCAAGGAGATGCACCATTTAAAGCCAAATATTATTTAATATAGCAGTATTAAATCACAAAGACTAACACTACTAGTCAACAGTATGGCTTATTTGGACTGAATTTCAGCTTACGGCCCTTGTCCATCCTGTTACTGAATCCAGACATCTGTTTTTAATGAGACAGTTTCAGGATTTGACTTTAGTCTCGGTAAAATAGGTCCTGCTTTATGGCCCTTCAAGTTGAAAAGTATAGTAAAAATGATACATAAGACTTTGCCACTTCTGCATGTGTATTCATTTCCTGTAGATCAGAATTCTCCAACCTTGCCAACATCCAGATGTAGGGATTTGAACTCCCAGAATTTCCAACATTGACTGTGCTGGCTGAAGAACTCTGGGAATTGGAGACTACACATCTGGAAGTTGATAATGATGGGAAACTGCTGTAGATCTTTTGGGCTTAATTCCTAAAGCCTGTGCTTTTTAATTGCTATGGAAAGTAGCTTGTGAACCTGTGAGAATTCTGAAGGGGAGATTTGTCAGCTCTTTTGTGTTACTATACAAGGGTTGAATGAAAATTAAACTCTCCACCTCCATAACTTTAGTTTAAATACAAATATTTTAAGAAATGAAATAGGAAAATAATCCTTGAAATGAGTTCTTTTGTTACTTCTGTTTACTTCTCCATGTAATCACCATTCACTATATACTTCTCCAATGATGGCTAAGCTTCTTAAAGCTGTCACAAATGCACTCCATAAAACATCTCTTCAACCAGTCCTTTCCACCTCTTCATTTGAGTCAAATGGATGCCCACAAAGGTATTTGCTTTGGAGTCAGGCAGCACCAACATTGAAAGAAATTGTTTGTTTGTTTATTTATTTCAATGTTGGGAATAGATGGAAGTCACATGGCACTAAATCTAGATTATATGGTGGATAGGGTAAGATAGTGAGATCCATCTTTGCAATTGCCTCTTTAAGAGGTGTGAGACCTACCATTGTCCTGTTCCAGCAAAAGTTCCTCCTTATGCTTCTGAATTCTAGTTAATCATTGTTTCAAAGTGGCAAAGGTAGAAGAGGTGGAAAGACTGCCAAGTGTGGACTTCTTCTGTGATGGGTTTAAGAAATTTGTCCATTGTTCAAGTGTGTAGCAAATAGAGGTGTTTATATGGAGAAGTAAATTCAGGTAATAAAAGACCTCATTTCAAGAATTATTTTCTTGATTCATTTATTAACATATCCTTATTTAAACTAAATTATGGAGGTGAAGGCATTACTTTTTATTCAAACCCTGTTAAAGCTGCATGACACTTCCACTTCAGCTACAAGAGGTAGTAAGCTTCCAAATACTGGTTGCTGGGGAAAGCATGCAGTGATTAAAGACTGTTGCTTTCATGGTCTTTTTATGCCTTCCAGAGGGGCTTGCACGATTATGGTTGGAACTAAAGTGCTGGAATGTGTGCATCTTAGGTGTAATTTGCATACTTGTGCTTTCTCCCGCCACAAACATTTATAATTACTTTGTCTCACCTGGATTAGTGCCTAGAAATCAATTCAAGGATAGATAGTTGAAAAACAGGACAGATTATTCAGATTTATTAAGTTCTGGCCTCTGAGAGATACTGAAAATTTAAGCATCTATTTAAGATGATTTATGAATTGGCCTTATTCCTTGGTGGAGAAATGGCCATGACAAGACTAAGACTGGATTTTGTTTGTCGGTGTCTAGTGCTGTTTTCATCTGAATCACTGGAGGGAGTACTTGGCCTTATGTCAGTATTGTTAACCAAATATTTTGCTCTTTTAGCCCTCTGGTGTCCTTGTCTTTGGACTATGTCAATCCTTGCTCAGAGATTAACATACTAAGATATAATTCTTCCCCATACACCACATTAAATTTAAATGACAGACACCACATGATAAAAATATCTAGAGCTGTTGCTTTGGATGCTGAATCACAATTCCTATCAAACCTGTGCACTTTGTCTAGGTTTCATGTGGACAAGCTCTCCTCAGCACATGTCTACCTCCGGCTACATAAGGTAACTGTCTAGCTTTGCTTGTTCTGCTCAGTTATGTGCATCCATGTATGGTTGTGCGATGGTGCTTTCCTAGCTGCACAGCAACAGTACACAAAATTATGCAGAGTTGTACACCAATAGCTGTGTGCAAAATCTCCCTTTTCTGGGGGCAGAACTTTACAGTTTTCCCAAGAACATTTCAATGTTCAAGAATGGCCTGATTGAACATTTGCAAGGATGTTTTGATAGTTTTCAGGTGTGGACCATGCCTAGAATTCTACTTTCTGTTTTGGAAGACTTCCAGAAAGTTACCAAACTAAAATTCTTCTTGGATTCAGCTGACCATCATTTTTGTACTAGATATAATAAGCTATGAGGAGTAAGAGCTGAAAAAGTATACTTTTTGAAGCAGCTTGTTTACATCCTTATGCCTTAAAAACAAAGTCATCCAAAGGAGTCCGATCAAATAATGCTGTGGGCTCTTAAACAAATTGGGCTGCCAAAACTCTGGGATTTTAATTATGGCAAATATTCTCAATTTTATTCTCAAAGCATCTAATCAAGATGTTACAGTGAGCTATATAGTTTTCTTGGTTTTGATTTGTATCATCTGTGACCTTAACAATTATGGTTTGTATGTCATGCTTGTATGGCTTATTGCAGTTAGTGAACCCAGAATAATTGTGTCTTTGTCAGCAAACCAAGATTTAAAAGTGAATGGCTTGGCATGATGTGTGAACTCATAAACTGATTTAATTGTGTGCAAGAAAATTCAAAGTAGACTTTAAAAAAAAAACAAAAAACAATCCACTATACTAGTCCCTGGGTTAAGAACGCCCATGTTACAGACAATCCATAGTTAAGAATGGAGCCTATTGTAACAAACTTTGAGTTAAAAATACAATGGTTCAAGTCCATTACACAATG